AGCCGAAAGGGGAAGAACGAGAAGAAATAAAAAAAGTCGGACTGGATGACGAGAGATGGAGGGGGATAAGGAGGAGAGGGAGGGGAGGAGGGGAGCAGAGAGGGGAGAAGGGAGAGAAAAGAGAGGAAGAAGAAAGGGAAGACGAGGGGTGGGAGCTGAAGGAGGGAGGGAGAGAGGGAAGGGAAAGGAAAGGAGGAGGGAGAGCGGAGAGGGAGAGAGGGAGAGGTGGGAAAGAGGGGAGGAGAGAGAAAAGGAGAGGAGAGGAGAAGAGGAAGAGAGGAAGGGAGGAGGCGGGAAAGAGGGGAGGAGAAGGGGGAGAGGAGGGAAGGAGGGGAAGAAGGAAGGAGGGAAGGAAGAGACAGGAGGAGAGACGAGAGGAAGAGAAGGAGGGAGGGAGGGAGAAGGGGAAAGGTAGGAGGGAGGAGGGGGAAGAGAAGGAGGAGGGGAGGGGGGAGGGGAGGAGGGAGCGGAGGGGGCGAGGGCTGGGGGAGAGAGGGAGGGAGAGCGGGAGAATGGAGAGGGAGGAGGGGAGAGGGGAGAGGGAGGGGGGAGAGGAGGAGAGGGGAGGGAGAGGAAGGACCGGAGGGAAGAAGGGGGAGAGAGGAGAGAAGGAGGGGAGAAGGGAGTGAGGGGGGAGAAGAGGGAGAAGGGGGAGGGCGGGGAGTGGGGGAGGGGAGGGAGGAGGGGAGGGGCGAGAAGGAAGAGGGAGAGAGAGGAGGGGGAGGAGGGAGAGAGGGAGAGAGGAGAAGAGGGTGGGGGAGAGTGGAGAGGAGAGGGGGATCGGGGAGGGGGAGGGGACAGGGAGGGAGGAGCAGAAGGGGAGGAGGGGGGAGAGGGGGGGAGGAAGAGAAGGAGAGGGAGGGAGAGGAGGAGGGGAAGGGAGAAAGGGGGAAGAGAAGCAGAGGGAGCGAGGGGGAGGGGAGATGCGAGAGGGAAGGGAATGGAAGGAAGGAGAGAGGGAGAGAGAGAGGGGAGGGAGGGATGGAGGAGGAGGAGTAATTAATGCGACACCCTGATGTAGGACGGAAGGGGGAAGGGAGACAGGTGGAAGGAAAAGAGAAAGGGGAGAGGAGAAAGAGGAGGGGGGGGGAGAGGAAACCCAAGATGAGGCCGAACAGCACGATCCGTGAGTTGAAGCCTTGTACAATCGGTACGGTTTAATGCGCGCAAGGGGATACGCGAGGACGGAGGTCCCGCGAACACAACTGTGACACGGATAGTTGAGTTTAGGTGAGAGAGGATGATCACCAGTTGACCGTGAGGAAAATCAGGCGGGAAGGGAGAGGAAGGGGAGTAAAAGAAAGGGGGAAAAGGGAGGGGGGACGCGTCGAGACGGGCGAGGGGAGGAGGGGAGGGGAGGGTGGGGGGAAGAGAGGGGGGACGAAACGATAGGGAGAAAGGTGGAGAACCACAGTGACCAGACGGCGGAGACGTAGAGGCGGAAGGCTTAAATGTGTGAATGGACGTTAAGGACGTTTGAGCGATGCCGGAGCACGCGGGGACGTTGCACATCCGCGAGCGAGGGCGATCCGAAAATGATGACGGGGGGAGGGGAGAGTGAGGTCGGATAGAAATGAGGTGGTGCATGGATAATAAGGCTGAAGTGGGGTGACTGGACCAGGTGGAGTTAGAGAGAGGTGAGATTATGTTGCCGAGGGCGAGATACGCATGTGGGTACGGGAAAAAATCGCGAAGTAATTGCTGGAGAGCGGGATGGGGGAGAGGGGAGGAGCAGGGCAACAGCGCCAAATGCCCGAAGGAGGATGCGTCAGCAGTGAAACAAATGTTCCACGGCTGTTAGGGACCCCGTCGCCAAATGCGTGTGAACCAGTGGACGTTAGGTGGGAGGCGCGAGTTGAGATAAGGGGGGCCGGGAGGAGATCTGTGGGGGGGAGAGGAGAGGAACGAGGCCTTTGACAAACGGACAGGACGAGAACAGTGAGAGAACCGGAAAGCGACGAAGGTGAAAGTCGATGCTGTCAGGTGGTGGGCAGATTACCGTTAGGGCGAAAGGAGCGCACAACAGCCTGGAGAAGGAAGCCCAGCGAAGAGGGGGAAAGCGCGGGCATTTAGACCCGGCATACGCATATAGAGCTTGCGGAGGGGATGAGATTCTAGGGAGGTAAACACCATAATTACCGGGGATTTAACAACAGGCGCGTGGTGATAGAGGCACCAAACAAATATGTGTGTATGGGGGCGCGTTGCGGCCAGAGCGTGAGTTGCCGCTCGAAGCGCAGCCCAAGGGCAAGAGCAACGCCGTAGGGTGGCCCAGGGGTTAGGGCGGCGAAAGGTGGCGTATGAATGAGAACAGGAAGCGTTGGCGTTCCATGCGGTGCGGGTCATGGCGTATGGAGATATGTGAGAGCACTGACACGTTTGACAGGCTAGGTTGGGAAACGGAAGGTAGACAGGCGCAAGCTAAGATGGATGAGGCGTTTTAATGCGGACAGGGAGAGAAAGAGCGGCCAGCCGAGGAGAAGATGGTCGAGGGAGTGTCGAGAGAGCGAAGGGGTTCGGGGGAGGTGGGACAGAAGGAAGGGGGGAGAGGGGGAGAGAGTCGACGGAGGGAGGAGGAGATGGAGAAGGCGGGGGAGGGAGTGAGAGGGGAGGGGAGGAGGAGAGGGGAGGAGGGTAGGAGAGACGGAGTGCAAGAGTAAGTGAGAGAGCACTTTGAAACGAGAGGTATCAGTCTGTGGAGAGATTGGAGGTGACCGAAAAGGGCGATATTGGAGGAATGAGGTGAAGCCCTGAGCTTTGGAGAGAGGTGGGAGAGAGAGATAGTGTGATGTGGATGGGGAGGATATAAGACGGGATGAGATGATGAGAGGAGAGACTAGGAGAGAGAGAGAGACGAGAGAGTAGAGAGAAGAGAAGAGAGAGAAGAGAGAGGAAGAGGTGAGAGAGAGAGGAGGAGCAGAGAGAGAAAGAGAGAGAGAAGAGAGAAAGAGAGAGAGGGAGAGAGAGAGAGAGAGAGAGAAGAGAGAGAGAGAGAGTGGAGGGAGGGAGGAGAGGGGAGGAGAGGGGAGGAGAGAGAGGAGAGAGAGAGAGAGAGAGAGAGAGAGGAGAGAGAGAGAGAGAGAGAGAGAGAGAGGGAGGAGGGAGAGGGAGGAGAGAGGGAGGAGGGAGGAGGGAGGGAGAGAGGAGAGAGAGAGAGAGAGAGAGAGAGAGAGAGAGAGAAGAGAAGAGAGAGAGAGAGAGAGAGAGAGAGAGAGAGAGAGAGAGAGAGAGAGAGAGAGAGAGATACATGTGTGATATACAGCTATAATTAGCCTCTTGTGAAAAGTTTCAGGAATTTTGACTCACCTATCCATGCCTCTAAACGAGCACATGGCTGTGTCTTCACAATGTCTGGTGGATCGACTGGGATATTTAAGCACAACACCAATGCTACACTAACTGTTTTCATCTGGAAATAAGAAAGTAAATTAGATTAAAGGAAACAAAAACATCTTCAATATAGCTACTTTTAATCCATTCACACCCTGTGGTACATTATCCAACCATAGAACAAATTTTACTTATGTTAGATGACATCTTGGTATGCCATGAGTTGGGATGATGGGCTCCTGGTCATGAGCCAGACAATAGCCCAAGGACAATGGGGTGTGTCCTAATGCACCCTAACACTGTCAAACTTTAGCTGAAATTTTACCACTGTGAGTGAGTTCATACTGAAGCTTGGTAACTCCCTGGGATCCTCACAGGTTTTGTCATTTTAGTTTCTGCAACAACATAATATCCATGTAGCAGCTTTGACTTCAATTACACTCTGGAAAACACTCTCCTTTCTTACTTTCAAACACAAGCATACAAAGAAGAAAAATTAATAGTGTTGCATGTTTTATTGATCACACAGACATATATTCAGAGGGAATCATACATCTGCCATGATCAAAAGTACCTTGCACCTTATAACAACATTAATTCTCTATCTATCTTCTGAGCACTGAGATGTCAATCAAACATTTTTTGTTTGCAAACATCAAAAAAAAGGGAGGGATAAAGAGAAGACAGAGATGCATAAAGAGAGAGAGAGACAGGGAGAGAGGGGAGAGATGTGATCTTTCAAAGCTACATTCAACAATATATATATATATGTGTGTGTGTGTGTGTGTGTGTGTGTGTGTGTGTGTGTGTGTGTGTGTGTGTGTGTGTGTGTGTGTGTGATATAGTGTGTGTGTGTGTGTGTGTGTGTGTGTGTGTTGTGTGTGTGTGTGTTGTGTGTGTTGTGTGGTGTGTGTGTGTGTGTGTTGTGTTGGTGTGTGTGTTGTGTGGTGTGTGTGTGGTGTTGTGTGTGTCTTTTTTTGTGTGCATGTGTTGAATTCAGATGAACTAGATTGCACGTGCAAGTACAACGAAGAAAGAACAGGAAAACACACACTGAAGCCTTTCACTAATGCTTCGTACGGCTATGCCCTGAGAATCATTAGTGAAAAGCCTTTCGCATTATTCTGTGTGTTTCTCTCGTTCCTCCGATTCGTTGCTCCTATTGTATGTGCTGTGCATGTGTGTGTCTCATTCAACGTATACCATATATATATATAATATATATATTATATGGTGTGCATTATATTGTTTGATGTGTTGTGTGGTTTACTTTGTGTGTGTGTGTGTGGTGCTGCGTGTGTGTGTGATGGTGTCGCTGTTGCTGTGATGGTGTGGTCGTGTGGTGTGATGTGTGGTGTATTGTGTGTGGTGTGTGCTGTTTTTATGTGCTGATACCCCTTAAATGTGTGTGTGTGTGTTGTGTGTGTGTATGTGTATTGTGCTGGTGTGGTTGTGTGTGTGTGTGTGTGTGTGTGTGTGTGTGTGTGTGTGTGTGTGTAGTGTGTGTGTGTATGTGTGTGTGTGTGTGTGTGTGTGTGTTGTGTGTGTGTGTGTGTGTGTGTGTGTATGTGTGTGTGTGTATGTGTGTGTGTGTGTGTGTGTGTGTGTGTGTGTGTATGTGTGTATGTGTGTGTAATGTATGTGTCTGTACATGCACACATACATATATACATATATACATACATTACATACATAAATATACAATACATTATACATAACATAATCTACATATATATATATATATAATATATATAGTATTCATATATATATATATACTATAGTATATCAACCATACATACACATATTTGTTTCCTACTGTTTCTAAAAGTATAAAAAACATAAAACATAGAGGCCATTGTATTGCTTAAGAACCAGTTATGCCTGTATTTTTGAGACTGCTGCAGAGAAAGCAGCTATATGGGGAAACACATATGAAATAAGAATATAAAAGTGATCTTATTACAAGGTCTGTTACAGACACTTATCTGCTCTGAGGTTGAATCAAGAAAGTTATTCTATCTTTTCCCTATGACTAATTTTGAACTACACTCAATAGTATGTGGAACAATATAATGAAAGAGATGTTTATGGCTGAACACACAGCAATCTTGTAAATTTGATAAGATTACAAAAATAACAAGGTTGGGATGAATTAGAAAATATATATGTACTGATCCTGTATTTTTTTAACCCTTTCACGTATTTATAATGACCAAATGCCTGAGAAAAATCTGATGCTGCATATCTGTGATGAATGCTTATGATGGCTTCATCAAATTACCAGCCAACTACATGAAAGGGTTAATAATTATAAAAAAAAAAAACACTAGCTATAGTGGTGACCAAGGGATCAACAGCTAGGTTATGCATTTTGTAGAAAATAATTATGATAGTTACATTTACTGCTCTTCATCCAGTGGGAACAGTCTGGATCCCAATGGCTGGGGAGGGCATGAAAGAGAACAGGGAAACTGTAGGGTAAAGGGAGGGGGGAGGAAGGAACCAAATACTAATGAACCAAAAAATTACAAAATATACTTATAGTGATTCTGTAATAACACAAAGATGTTGAGCAGCCTGTGACTTAGACTTGCCAACAAACAAATAAATTGCCATGGCCTTTGGCCCTTCAGGCATCTACTGGTATGTGGCTCAGGGTCTAACAAGAGTTGTAATGTAGTAATCCAGGTGTGAATTTACACATTTCATTTGATTTTTGTCTAATCTAGTCTTTACCCTGTAATTTTCTTGTTTCTTGTTCTCTTTTATGCCTCCTCAGACTGCTACTTTAGCGTGATAATACTAAACATAAATCCTTAAAATAAATTGCTTGTAGCATGGCACTGCTATTCTCAAAATTTCAAAAACTGATATAACAATACTGGGCAACTGGCAGAAAAAAGTAGACAAGCAAGCTGAGGGTTCTATCAAGCTCATCCACTTTTATCTTAAAACATGTAGCCTCATTGCAGCCTTACTGAAAACTATAACCTGGACTTTGTGGCTGAGTACTTGGATTATAGTGGGAATTAGTGAGCCAATGCCAGGGGAAACCTTTTATTACAGGAATTATTAGGCAAATTTGGCACTGAAATTTAATTTCCTTTCTGTACTACTAGAATGTGATGTTCCTGTACACTTGGAAGCAAAATGAAATAGTGTTAAAACATTAAGCAGTAAGGTATAAAACATCTCCAAAAGAAAAAATGAGCAAAAATACTTCTATTCTCATTTCAGCATTTTAATATGGGGCATAATTTTTTGTCTCCTTTACATATGCTAGGAAAACTCCTCATCTCTTTAAAAATTTAGTGTTGGTCATACAAGCTGCATGTAGTGGGCATGGCATGAAGTGGTGACAGCTAAAATGCCATGCCAAGCCAAGGAGGTGGGCTCATATACATGCAAATTTCCATGAAAGGTGGAGCTTCCTGGTGTGACTTCTCCAGGATAGTCAGACAGTTATCAACAGCATGGGATATACTAGGGCTGCTTAAGATGAGAAGCAAGCAAGCACAGAGCAATAAGTAGTTCAATAATTGCAAAGATGATAAAGAAGACCTGGAACAGATAGCTGAGGATTCCACAAATGAACATTTCACCAAACAGGCAGCAAGCAGATAAAGGTGAAGTATATGCATTACAGACACTGACAGTAATGATAATAAAGGGGAAAAGTGTCAGCATTCCTTGAGGCATATGTGAAGGTATAGCAAGCAAATGCTTAAATTTGTATAGAATTTTACATGAAAAGGCTTGACTGTCATAAGCTATAAGCCATTACAAGTAATAAACCTGTTGCCATGATTTTTCATGCTAAATAGGGAATTAATGGTAAAGTGTGAATGGTAAAAATATAATCAGTAATAATAAAAATCTAGGACAAAATTTACACAAAAAATATTATCTAATAAAAATAATGCTGAATTTCATAACAAAATAGCATACACATCAATAAGAGTATGTATTGGCAATGATGAGTTGTTTGCAGTAAAGGAAATAAACATACGTGAATTTCTTTGCCTTTTGGAAAATAATTTTTGTAGCATTATCAGACTCTAGGCAAATAATTGTGCCTGTGTAGAAACATGAATAACTCTCTCTCCAGTTTACTGGTTTCTCCCCTTCCTCAATTTTGAATGTTCACTTTTCAGGATATACAATGAATCCAGAGCAGTCTCTGGTCCAATATCTCTAGGAAAAATCGGAACTGACATTTTCATTAGACAGATATCTTCCTTAACTCATTGGATCTGGATGCTTCACTGCCATCACATGGTCCAAAATATGGGTATTCTGCTTACTTGAGTGACCACTCTGTTGGGCGTGCTGCTTGTCACACGCGAACACTTGTGTGTGATGACTCTATGCCTTGCCTTTGCAATGTTATGTTCTCTTTTTCAGCATAAGCATTTTTTTTTTTTTTTTTGCCATTTTCTAATGTCTATATTTAACATTTGATCTGCTTTATGGATAGGGTAACAGATTGTCCTTAAGAGGACTGTCCCGGAGGTTGAAAATTTCTGAGTCAAACTGAGTTAGCTAGCGTATTGTATAGGTGCATGAATGAGGAAAAACCAAACGACTATTAAAGCCCAGCTATGGTTCTCGGGCAGCACATGCGAGACCTGCTAAACACCTGGGGAGACACACCACTAATGAGTGCCCAGGTACATCTATGTGGACTTTTGATTGTTGCAATTATGCATAAGGCATTTGATTATGACATTGTGCATAGATGTGAGTTGTGAATCTTCAAAGAACACTTTTATACCAATATCAGAAAAAAATTATATCAGTGATTTATGACAAAACATTTTATGAAATATGTCTTTAAAACACGCACGCACGCACACACACACACACACACACACACACACACACACACACACACACACACACACACACACACACACACACACACACATGTATGTTTTGTGTCCTTTTACATATGAAATATGTTTCCATTGAGACTACCTGGTAATATGTTGTACTTATGAAGTAATCTGTATGTATACTGAGTACGAAGCACTAATGTTTGAAAATAGCCGTATAAGTAAGGATTAAAATATTTCTGTT